GCTTGCTTTGAGGGTAGAGACGAGTTTTATTTTTTTTTTAATTTTGAAAACTAATAACGAGTAAAATAATCATTAAGAGATATGACACATGACCACTTTTATGGCTTCACCCTGTCGACCTTTAATTAATAACGAAATTTTAATAGTATTAATGCCCTTTTATACGCAAGCTACAGTGCCACATTTCGATTCTTAAACTTTACCCATTCTGAGATATTGTTTAATATCTCAGAACAGAAAATAAAGAAATTAAACAAATTAGATGTCAATACACACACGGGCGCGCATTTTTCCCTTTTATTAACCTTTTTCAGGGGTTCGGGAGGACTCCAAACGTGTTGATTGGCTAAAAAAAAAGAAAAACTTGGGGAGTCAAATTTGACACGATTACAATACTTTTCCGTTTTATATACATAATAAGTTGGGAAGTAGAAAGGAGTCGGAGTCGGCCGATTTTTTGACGACTCCAACTCCGGCTAAAACACCAAAACTTCACGACTCCGACTCCGACTCCACAGCCGTGGTAATTAGATATAACATGTATCTCGCTGAAGTGTGATAATATTTCTTTTTTTATGATATTTACCTGAACACAAACTACATTTAGATTATTTAATATCTTTATCATTCCTGTTGTAGACCTTTATATGCTTCGCTTTAATATGTCTATTTAAGCTTTGCTTATGATTATATTTCAAATTACATTCATCTCATTTCATTTTATACCACCGATTTAACACGAAGTATTTATTACAACATTGTTGACTATTATAAACAAGTTATTACTATTATTATTTTAATTTATTGAATAATTCTTTTATTACAATTAATAATTTTACTTATAGTATAGATAATCATCTTAAATTTCATATTACTTATATATCTATCACTTTATTTCAAATTGTACTGTTCGTTTCTTTATTTAACAGTGAGGAACATCAGCTAACGAGGGAACAGTAATCATATCTCAAAATGTAGACAACCGACTGAACTTATTCTATCTCAAGGCGATGAGGCTACACAACCAAAACAGCAAAGGAGAAGAAGCTTTAGCGATGTTATAGATCACAATGGAGAACGAAAATACAAACCCGCGCGAGAAACGCGTTATGACACAATGGTCGAAGAAGTGATCCTTGATGCTTCCCAAGAAATACAGGTTCTTAGAAACTTTCAGTTATTACAGCAAAATCTACTGTTTTAGATGATTACTTATTGTAAATTAGCCCTCTTTAACAATAAACACAGCTCAACTAATCGTGTTTAGACAACTGTATAATGACCATAGAAACGATACATCACAAATTTGCAGTAAGGTACAGTATATGCAATATTCATTCATTTTACGATATTTACATATATTATTTATTGTATAAACGTTTCATTTTATTATTTGACACATTTAATTACGTTATTTTCATCTTATATTATATGTAATTACTGTTTAAGTTTATCGAAATAAAGTATCGGTACATGGAAATAGATTAATCCACTTTTTATTTTTATAATAAAGAAAATTAATTCGGTTTTTGAACAACTCATAGTTCGAACGGCCGTTTGGAATGAATTAATTTCGAAGTATAAAGCATCAATAAATAAACTAATTTTAAATATACACTTTCATTCACACAAGTGCTCTGAAAAATAGAAGAAATCAATTAACTTCATTTTTTACAGTTTTCTTGGTATTATGCGATTGAAAATGAAAGCCCGAAGCCCTCGTGTTTATAAATTGTTTAAATGTTAAATTAAAATTTTTATTTGATAATGAGCTCGTAAAAACACATAGAAAGTGTAACTAACAAGAATATTTGTAAACATGAGGTCTCCACGTCTTACTTTTGTTTGCGTAATAACAAGAACACTGAAAGAGAAAGTTATTCTTTATAGTTTTTAATATCTTTATGAGAACAAACACGCTTATTTGATTCGTATTATGTTTTCTATTAATGAGTAAAGCTATACATAGGAAAATCTGTATTTAAATTTCATTTTTTAACATATAAAATTTTAGCGAAATTTAATGCTAATATTCAATATTGAATCTAGAGAAACGTATTGTCATCTGGAGCAGCTAAGTATGATAAGTAAGTAAGTAAGTAAGTAATCTTTATTAGCGTAGAAGGCTTTCGCCTATTACAAGGGCGTTTTATTTTGATGAAACGCATATTCACATNATTGAAGATGTAAAGCAAATAAAAGTTTCCAAGAAGAAAGAATCATCTCGAGATTATCAAATAATTCAAAGGTGTGATGTGTTGACTGTACGAGGCTGTAAAAAACTCATTGAGCCGTTGTCAGATGCGCGAGAAAGGTTTGAAAAAGTTTGTCCATGCCGGAGAATTGTTTGACATTCGATAAAAACTGAAGAAGACCTTAAAAAATTAGAAGATTCACAAGAGACTGTGATTATGAGATCACAGTCAAATCTTACTCAAGAGGACATTCCATTATCCCCCGCTTCTACAGAATCACCTATAGAAATACAAGAATTTACCGATAGTAATCTTAAACTGCCTTCTATACCGTTGATTGATGATGCAGTCGTGAAGAATATTCAGTTACCCTGCACCTCCAAGGGATCGCCTCTGCAAGTTGCAGAAGTCATCACTGAGTTACTCTTAACTTCAGCAGAATCGCCATCACAGTTTAGTACAGAGCCTGTAAAGAGCACTATACAAGACAAAGCCCGTATTGTTTGCTCAAAAGCAGCATCAAGTGCTCACAAGTGTAAATCGTGTAATATGTTTGTTCACGCAGTTTGTGGTGAAGTAGATCCTAAAGAGGAAGGGTATGGTAAGAATGTATTGTGCATCATCTGTAAAAAGAATATGGATC